TATGTAAGTGATATGATTGGTTGATGATTAGATAAGATATGAGAAAGTACTATTTTTAATATCCTAATTGATTGTTACATCACTAGACTTGAAAATTAAATCTAATTTTTGATCTTAAATAACAATACTCAATCCATATATATAGAGTTATCTCATCATCACATCTCTGTCGAAATAGACTACAATATAAAAAAACAAGGAAAGAACTCACTTCAATTCAATATAGATGGTGGCATGGGGGGCACACAATTAACGACATGACTTTGATCAACTTGCAAAAGCTAATGATAAGGGGATTACATCAAACTGAGAAAGAATGGGGTGTCCATGGAGATCGAGTAACGAGTATGAGGGGCAATCTAGCAAGCTTGGAGTGGGAGGCTGGCAACCGGTGGTGCGCAGACATGGCGGTCGTGGCGGTGGGGCCCAAAGGGAGAAAAACATCTACTCTGTGTTTGTAGGCAACATACTAGCATCTATGGGGGCAAATGGGCTGTTTAAGATCTTCTCCAACTACGGAGTCATGCTGGATGCGTACATTCCAAATAAGAGAAGAAGATCTACAGGTTCTAGATTTGGATTTATAAGGTATGGTTGTCCGGTAGCAGTGGATATGGCTCTGCAAAAAGCACATGGACTTTGGTGCGATGACAAAGCACTAAAAGTCAAAAGGGCTGATTTTGGGAAGGAATATGATCACAGGCAAAAGGAGATTCGTCCAGTATAGCAGTGGAAGGAGAAGGAAGGTCACCAATCTGAGTATGTTAGGCATCACGGGAGTAAATCGTATGCCGATGTGGTCCGAGGCAGGGTAGCTCATTCCAGCTCAACTCGTACTATAAAGGTTCAGAGGGGAGAGAATAGTTGGTTGTATGCGAGTGCTGTAGCAAGATTGAAACCCAATCTAGCGGCTGAAGATCTAAATGATGAAGTACATAGACGTGGTTATGGAGATGTCACAATTAGAAGAGGAGGTGAAAGGCAATTAGTTATTTCCTTTCAGTTAGTTGAAGCTAAGTGGGAGAAGCTATTGGTAATGAAGGAATGGCTTACAGATTGGTGCGAATCAGGTGAGGATTGGAAAGAAGGAATAGTGATTGATCAGGTGAGACAGGTGTGGCTAAGTTGCTATGGTGTGCCACTGGTCTTGTGGAATAACAGTACTTTCTGCAGTATAGGTAGAGAGTGGGGTGTAGTTCTTGAAATGGATGAGGACACGACTAATTTATCATCCTTCCATTGTGGGAAAGTTAAGAAAGAGACAAGATGTATGGACATCATTAATCATACAATTAATCTGGAGTGCAAAGGGGTAATCTACCCTGTTAGGATTTGTGAGGAACAAATTATAATTTTAAAAGTAGTGCAAGAAAGGTGCATTTGCCAATCTTTTATGAGGAATAATAAGAAAAGCTACAGCTGTGATGAAGAAGAAGAAACTATTGCAGATAGAGGCAGCAGGCAGGAGAAAGAAGATGATGACGTGGAAGTATATGTGAGAGCTGAGGTGGGTAAAGGGTGTGAAGTGGCTGCAGAGGATAGGGTGACTGAACAGGTCCCAAATGACATGGAGGAGGAAGATCGACTGAAGGAAATCTCAGTGGTGGATGAGTCAGAAATGATGATGGGAGGGTGAGAGGAAGGCTCTATAAGGAAGCTCCGTCAAGGGGAGTCAGAGGTGGGTGGCGCACGCAAGGAGGGTAGCTGGAGAGGCGATGATGAGGTCTACACCCCTGGTTTTATAAAAAGTCTGAGTGGGTCTGTGGGGCCTCAACAAGGAATCAACATAGAGGTGGATTTAAATAGGGCCCAATTGGGAACAAGTAAGGAGGGATCGGCCCAAAGGGCTGCAGAACTAGGCAATTGGGTTGTTAATAGCATTCCTTCTAATTCTGATAAAAGGTTGAAGCAGCCTAGTGTAATGTATAACAGGGTGAACTCAGCCCATATACGTAAAAATAAACTAAAGGAGAAAGGAAGAGTAAGTAGAAGCCAAAATATTCTAAAGCAGTGGAAGCACAAAGAGGGAAAGATAGCAATGCAATCATCACTGAATCTAAGAAAAGGGGCAATTTTTCGATCTGCTGTAGCTATTATCTCACTTTCCATGGCCAGCAAGTCTAGTAGAGGTCGTTTACAATTATCAGATGCAGAAGCATCTCTTCAAATTAGCAAACTGTTAGAGGTCGATTGTGATGGCAAGGAGGAGGAGGTGATTAGCAAGCTAGAGGAATTGGAGGCCACAAACAAAGGAAAATAGGTGAGAAGGAGAGTTGAAGAGAATTGAGTCGTAAGGCTTAGGGGGTTTAAGTGTAAAATTGTGTAATGAAGATACAATCTTGGAATGTTAGAGGCCTTGGAAGACCTGAGAAAAGGAGAAGGATCAAAAGAAGTTTGGCGGAAAGGAAAATTAGTTTAGTGATGATTCAAGAAACAAAGAGATCTACAATCACCACTGAAGTAATAAAATTTATCTGGTATGAAGATCAATTTGAGTATATGGCAGTGGATGCGGAAGACAGAGCTGGTGGGCTACTATGTGTATGGAATCCAAAGGTGTTTCAACTAAGTGCTTGCTGTGGTAACTGAAACTTCATTCTCATATCAGGTACTATCTTTTCTTCTTTTAGTTGTGTGGTGGTAATTGTGTATGGTCCTACGGATGTGGTCAAAAGGTAAGAAGTTTGGGCAAATTTTTCTCTGTTGAAGCATCATTTCTTGGGGCCATGGTGCATGGGGGGTGATTTCAACGAAATAAGGAACACTGATGAACGGATTGGGTGTTCTAGAAGAGACTGAGGAATGAGGGCTTTTAATTCTATGGTAGAACAACTAGAGCTGATTGACTTACCAATGCTGGGGAGGAAATTTACCTAGTGCAACTCACAAACAAGGGAGAAATGGAGTAGGATAGACAGATTTCTACTTAATCATGAGTGGCTTCAGAACTTCAATCTCAGGGTATGGGGATTACCTAGGCTGTTATCTGATCATTGCCCTATAATATTGATGGAGGATGATCGTGATTGGGGTCCTAAACCATTTAGGTTTCTGAATGCTTGGGTTCTCCACCCTAGCTTCGTATATTTAGTGGAGCAAACCTGGTCAGAAGCTCAGGTGGAAGGATGGGCTGGCTTTAGATGTTGCATGAAATTTAAAACTTTGAAACAAAAATTAAAAGTATGGAACATTGTTGTGTTTGGAAAAGTTGAATCTAAGCTTAAGGATGCTGAAGAGGAAGCTCATGTAATTGAATTAATTGCAGAAAAGAGACCACTGATGGGAAATGAACAAGCTAGAAGGAAGGAACTAATGGGTGAAATCTCGAGGTTGAACAAAATACTGGAACGTATCTGGTTACAAAAGTCAAGAGTTAGTTAGGCCACACAAGGGGATAGGAATACCAGGTATTTTCACATTATAGCGTGCAACAGAAATAGCAGGAATTCTTTGTGTTCTGTTATGGTGAATGGCTCATTGGTTGAGGAACCTTTGGAGGTTAGACTTGAGGTAAAGAAGCATTTCATGAATCACTTCTCTGAAACTTGGGCTGTTAGGCCTAAACTGGTTGGTCAGTTCAAACATATTGGGGATAGTTTAGCATTGGATTTGTTGGAAGCAGAGTTTACAGAGGAGGAAGTTAGTCATGTGATTAAGAGCTGTGAAGGTAACAAAGCACCTGGGCCGGATGGGTTTAATTTGGCCTTTTTTAAGAAATGTTGGGGAATAGTTAAGTCTGAGATAATGCAATTCTTTAGGGAGTTCCATCAGAATGCCACTCTGGTTAGTGGTTCAAATAGTTCATTCATTGTTCTAATTCCCAAAGTGGATAGCCCATCAAGCTTGAATGAATATCGGCCCATTAGTCTTATTGGTTCTTTGTACAAAATTCTTGCTAAGGTCTTGGCAAATAGAATGAAGCTTGTGATGCCAAGAATCATTAGTGAGTCTCAATCAACATTTTTGGGGGGTAGGAATATTCTGGACGAGATCCTTATTGCAAATGAGGTAGTTGATGGGTGGAGAAAATCGAATAAGAAAGGTCTAGTGTTGAAACTAGACTTGAAAAGGCTTATGATTCGGTCAATTGGGAATTCTTGTTTAATATGTGTGCCAATTTCAGTTTTGGTGAAAAATGGGTGAGATGGATGAAAGCTCGTGCAGCCTCCTCAAAAGTGTCAATTTTTGTGAACAGTTCACCTACCGAGGAGTTTTGCCCACAGGGAGGCCTACGGCAAAGGGACCCATTATCCCCCTTTCTCTTCAATATAGTGGCTGAGGGGCTTAATATCTTGTTTGACAGAGCAAAAGAAATGGGTTTAATTGAAGGAGTTACCATAGGCAATTATGGGGTAAAAGTAACGCACCTACAATTTGCTGATGATACAATCCTGTTTTGTGAAGCTCGGTGACTGGAAGAGGTAACCGTCAAAAGAATACTTAGGTGTTTTGAACTTATATCAGGGCTGAAAATTAACTATCACAAGAGTGTGATTGCTGGGGTTGGTGTGGATGAAGAGCTGTTACAAGGGTTTGCTTCTCGATTAAATTGTACATATCAAGACTTGCCTCTAAAGTACCTTGGGTTACCTCTAGGAGCCAACCCTAGGAGGAAAAGTACTTGGAAACCAGTCTTGGATAGGTTTAAACATAAATTACCCTCATGGAAGAGAAGGTTGCTCTCGTTTGCTGGGAGGCTAACTTTGATTAAATCTGTTTTGAGTAACTTGCCTATTTATTACATGTCCTTGTTCAAACTACCAGTGGGGGTGGCTAAAGAAATTGATAAAATTCAAGTAAACTTCCTATGGGGGGGTTCAGATCTGAGAAGAAAAGTTCACATGGTTAAATGGGAAGCCATTACCAAGAGTAAAAATTTAGGAGGCTTGTGCATTAGAAGATCTGCAGATATGAATAAGTGTCTATTGATAAAATGGTGATGGAGGTTTGCGGCAGAAAACCACTCTTTGTGGAAGGATGTTATATGTTCAAAGTATAATATGGGGGGTGGAAAGTGGCTGCCACATATGGAAGGAAATATCAGAGTTTCAAAAATATGGGCTGATATAATTAATGCAGTTAGATCTCAGCCTGAATTTTTAAATGTCTATCTTGATAATGCAGTCATTCAGTTGGGAAATGGTAGGAGAGCTCATTTTTGGTTACATAAATGGTCCGGGGAATTGTGTCTTAAGACCGAGTTTCCCAGACTATTCTCTCGGTCCACTGACAAGTATGGAACAGTTTCTGAATTCTACACCAGAAGAGGAGGGCTGCAGGATTGGAATCTGGATTTTAGGAGGCCTTTGTTAGCCTGGGAGGAGGATGAGGTACGTAGGTTATATATCTTAATCAGTACTGTACCAGCTATTCGGGTCTCAAGTCCAGATATTTGGATATGGAAGGCTGATCCAACTGGGTCGTTCTCTGTTGCATCAATGTACAAAAGATGTGAATTGTTCTTGGGACCTATTAGGAATATGGCAGTGGCAGTTTGGCATAACTGTGCCCCTCTTAAAGTAAAATTCTTTGGGTGGTTGGCATGGCAAGGTAAAGTTAAAACATCAAGTTTCCTGCAAAGAATAGGGATCTTAGATGTGAATGCTAATGTGGGTTGTGTCTTCTATCATGATGAGGTGGAAACAGTCAGTAATACCCCTGTTCTATAGAATGCTAATTGGTCCTTAATATGAGTATGATGATGTGTTTAATATGATTTGGTGTACGATTATGTGTAAATATGTGGTTTTGAATTTCTATCTATTCATAAAACATCAAGTTTCCTGCAAAGAATAGGGATCTTAGATGTGAATGCTAATGTGGGTTGTGTCTTCTGTCATGATGAGGTGGAAATAGTCAGTAATACCCCTATTCTATAGAATGCTAATTGGTCCTTAATATGAGTATGATGATGTGTTTAATATGATTTGGTGTACGATTATGTGTAAATATGTGGTTTTGAATTTCTATCTATTTACCGTAGGAATATCTATTTGATTTTTCTGCTTTGGAAATTAAATTGAAGGCCTTATCGGCCACATAACCCGAAATTGATTGCGTCATTGTGGTTGGCATAATTTTTAGAGTCTACAGTGAAATTTAATTGGAAATTGATTCGGGTCAGATTAAATTGATTAAATTAGAGAGTTAGTGCTCTATTCTTTGATATTATAATAATACTACAAGAGAGGGGCTTTTAATATGAGCACTACACAATTAATTACTCCCATTTTTGCTTCACTTGGCTGTTATCCACTCTAAGGAGAGGAGAGGGTCGGCTATTAGAGAGAGAAAAGGGAGAAAAATCTATTTTTGATCTTGAAGGCTTGGAAATTTGAAGTCTAACTCTAAATTGGACCATAGATTGAAGAAATTGGGCTTCTAGGTAAGCCATTGACTCTTGAATTCATGAATTGAACTTGTAATCTTGTAAGCTCAAGGTTTATTTGTGATCAAGAGCATGATTTAAATTGGTTTTGGTGAGATTTGGCCATGCATGCATAGAATTGTTTTTAAATTGCCATAAGTGTGCATAATCTAGCATGTAACATGCCAATTAAGCAAGATTTGAAGTTTGATCATGTATGCAAGCTTGGTTTTGTTGAGCTTTATGAGAATAGGCACTATTTGCATCTTTTGAAATGGAATTTGAGCTAAAAGATTGCATGCATGTTTGATTAATGAACTTATATGATATTTGAAAGCTTGAACCATGAGTTTACAAGAATGTTGGTTTATTTTGAAGAAATTTGACCATGATTTTGAGTAATTGGCTTCCTAATACTTGTATACTTGTGGTAGGTAATGTGTTTGCATGTTTGGGGAACCAATATTTTGAGTTTGGAACCTTTGGAGGTCGTTTAGAGCTCAAGAACTCATTCTGAAAAACCCAGAATTTTGATGTCCGCTCGAGCGGGGGAACGGCCGCTCGAGCGGGAAATACGTGCTCCCAGCACTTTTTGCAGACAAGGTGTCCGCTCGAGCGGGGGAATTCACGCTTGAGCGGGGAGCTATGTAGACAGACCTTCCACTCGAGCGCTCGAGTTCACGCTCGAGTGTAATTTTGATGCAACCAGTACTTTTGCAGACCTATTGGGTACGCTCGAACGGATAAGTCCATGCTCGAGAGGGGACCCTGTTTCCTAAAATTTTGTTCATGCGTTCTGTGTTCTGTTTTCCGTTCTCTTTCACTTGTAAGCACTCTTAGGCATACTTTGAGCATTGTAATTGAATTAAAGAGATAAGAATGAAGCCTAAAGAGATAAGAATGTGTGAATTACAGAACGGATTGAGTTAATTGTGACCCATATATGTTATGTGATGTGTAGGGTCAAGCTCCAGGGCAAATCCACAAGCCGATCACTGTGAGTAGTATCTTAACAAAGATATCTGAAATGTGCTAATTGTCTAATTGCTAATCTTCTTATAAGTCTGTTAATCTGAAGTATGGACAAAAGTATGATATGACAAGTTTGAAAGGCTTAAATGCCAGTTTGAAATGAAAGTTTGAAAGGCTTAAATGCCAGTCTGATATGACAAGTTTGAAAGGCTTAAATGCCAGTCTGATATGACAAGTCTGAAAGGCTTAAAAGCCAGTTTGATATGAAAGGCCTATGAGCCAGTTTGACACGAAAGTGTATATGGGCCGAAGGCCGTTTAGTAATAAATGTGGGCCAAAGGCCGTTTGACACGAAGGTGTATATGGGCCGAAGGCCGTTTGGTAATAAATGTGGGCTGAAGGCCATTTGACACGAAGGTGTATATAGGCTGAAGGCCGTTTGGTAATAAATGTTGGCCGAAGGCTGTTTAACATAAATGTGGACCGAAGTCCGTTTGATATAAATGTGGGCCGAAGGCCGGTTGATAAAATGTGGGCCGAAGGCCGTTTGATATAAATGTGGACCGAAGGCCGATTGACATAAACGATTGGGCCAAAGGCCGATGGACATTAATGAATCAGGCCCGAGGCCATATGATGTGTTTGGAACCTCAGTTACTTAACTTACATATGTCTATGTATGTATGTATTAGTTAAAAATGCAAATTGAGCCCAAGGCGGTTTGATGTATATTGTTCCAATGTATATTCTTTATTTGATATTATTCGCTCACGCTCATTCATGTGTTTGTAGGTGAGCCGAGAGAAGTCCAAACCCAGCCTCAGTGAAATCTGTGTGGAACAACAAAGGTTTTGGAGAGTCAGCCCTTGCGTCTCACGCACGAGACTTGCCTTCGCCTTTATGTCATTTTGTTCTATGTTGTCATGTCGGCGAAGTTTTTGAGTACATCTATACATAGTTTTGTTTGGTTAACTCAATTTTGAATGATCCTGTCTGTACAGAATTTTATGTTGCTATACTTTCTGTTGTGAGTTATCAACATATGTATGTCTGGAATGTTATGATATGCATATAAGCACAGCTCTATGGACAAAGTTTTTAATTTGCTTCCGTTTGGCCCCTTTTACTCTAATGAGTTTTGTCTTATTTGGTTTGAGGTCGTAGGTAATCTCGTGATTACTGGCCGGTTATGGCCTTAATCCATAGGGGCGGGTTCGGGTCATGACATAGTCTATCATATCTTGCTATCTTGCCCTTTTGCTTGGCTGTTGTGGTCCCACATCATGCAATGGTGGGGTGTACAGTGGGTTATACCAAACTCAGTGGAAAGATTGTTGGATTGGTGGTCATTTTGTAAGATGAAAAAGATTGAGAAACAGCTATGGATGGTTGTACCTTTGGCTGTCCTTTGGTCCATATGGAAGCATAGAAACGACTGTGTGTTTAATGGGTTGCAGCCAAATATTGAAGATCTCTATGAGCTGGTCAAAGTAAGAATAGCTGTGTGGATTAAATCGTCCCCAGTCAAACTGGAGTTCTCTGTCAATGATGTAGTCCTTAACTTGCAGCAGGTCCAATATTGTATTCGTAATAGGAGTTGAGTCTTGACCCTGGAGTGTGTTTCTACTGGAGTGTATATCAGGTTCAATTCCCGCTGGACTGGAGTGTGTATCTGAGGTTCAGGTTCAGAGTCTGTCCTGCTGGACTGTGAGGCTCAGTGGTGGACTATTTTGTGGGACTGCTTTGATAGTGCTTTGGTGTGATGGTGTGCTATATAAGGTTGAAGGCATTTCTTATGGTGTTTGGTGCAGGAAAGAGGGTGTTTACTAGGATGAGCAGTAAGACTGGTGTACACTAGTGACAGGAAAGAGGGTGTTGAAGGCATTTTCGGATGAGCAGTAAGACTGGTGTACACTAGTGACAGGAAAGAGGGTGTTGAAGGCATTTTCAACTTATTGGTTTGAGCAGCTACTGCTGGTGGAAGTCTACTGTTGGAAGTTCTGCTGGTGCCCCAAAGGAAATTATGGAAGTCTGCTTGTGGCTTTAGTCAGTTTTAAGGTTAAAACTTTATGCTGTTGTGGCTGCTGTCATTTTTGTTCTGCTGTTTTGCCTCAATTTTGCGTAGATGGTGGAGCTATTGGAAATTGGTAGGTATGATGTTGTAGGAAGCTGGTCTGATATGTGAAGATTGTCTTCTAACCTGTCACCAAAGCTGTTACTTTGGCACTAACCTGATTGGTATGTAGCAGTTAGTTGGAGTACATTGATATGGTGGAGAAAATAAAAGGATGGAATGTGCCTTGTTGTTTGGTAAGGCTAGCCAATTAGATGGTATGTGCCTTGTTGCTGCAGAGCTAAGCCACAAATCAATAGTTAAGAGGGGTAGAAACTGAATCTGAATTGGGCTAGATGGTTCTGCATCAGGACCTGTTCTGCTGGATGACCTGTCCTACTATGCCAGGGCTGGATGATTGGGACCTGATCTGATGTCTGTTGCCTGCGGTGCTTTGATGAAATAGTAGCTTTATGATCTGCTCTGTTTTAGCTGTGGAATAATGATCCAGTAGAGGGGTTGTGCGGTTGAATGGTCTTCAAAGGGTTATGATGTGGAAGGGAAGTAATATTCACCATTAGCTGCGGTGGGTCGCCAACCTCTTTACAGAAAAGTTATTTCTGCAGGTGGATGGCTACTGTCTTCTAGTGTTTGAATGGCTTATGGTGGCTGTTGTGGTCTGTCTGAATGGCTGGTGGCTGATGGCTTGCTGATGGTGAAGATGGGCAACTGATAAAAGATGCAATTACTCTGTGGTGAAATATGCTGCTATACAAGGACTGCTGTCTTGATTTATGTTGATCTGCCATCTAGTCTTGTTTTTGTTGGGCTCAGTTGGTGTAATGCTGCATTGGTGGGCTGGGGGAGGGGTGGAAAACAAGTGTTTTTTGCAACTGGTCTTTCAGGGAATGATTGATTGCCTTGTTGCTGCATGTCATTCGCCTCATTATGTTGTTTCGCCTCACTGTGTTTCTACTGTTTGGTTTTTGAGTGTCTTTTATTTCGGTTATTTTCATTGTTTTTGCGGTTGGATTCTCTCCAACTTTGATGGTGTGCTAGCAAATGATAGGGCGGGTTTATCGGTGCCAACCTAGTTGGGATTGGTTTGTTTCGTTTTGATGCTCTTTGCACTCATCGCTCTCTTTATTGATGTAATACTCTTTTAGTTCATCAATAAATTTTTCTTTTGCTGATCAAAAAAAAAAAAACTTGCAGAAGCTAAATCCCTGTCTGTGGACGACCGGCCTGCCTCACTATGCTACATATTTAGAAAGTTTCTTCCCTCTCAAAAGAAAAACAATTCTTAGTTTTTTTCATGTGATGTTATATATATATATATATATATTTTTCCAAGTCTCAACTACTTAATAAAAATCAGTTAGAATTTTTACTTGTAAATTTTTTTATTAAGTGATTGGTTTAAAATATCGCGTAAATAATGTCATATGATCCTCCAAAACTATTTAGTAATTACCCCAAAAGAATGAGTGTTTATATAGAAAGAAATTAATTAATACATAAACAATTCACTCAATGAAGGGTGGTAGAAGTGTTGAAAGACAGACAAACTCAAGAAAACTTCAACACTGCGTTGTGCAATGAAATACAGCTAATACTACACACGTTTTGATTTCTAAAGTAAAACCAACTCCACCCTTCACATTACAACAACATTTAAGAATTATTAAGTGATCAATCAACTTTCTCCTCCGCCTCCACCCACCCATCTATCTATATATATACTTCCTATATCGCCTTCTCTATGCACCTCAACTATTTATCTCCATATCTAGCAATTACTACTAGTAGCTGTCTCCTTCAGCATTGTACTATATACTTGTCAGCTCTTCTTTGATCGGTCTCTCTCGTTCTAAATATGGATCCAAATTGCTCTAGGTTCCAAGTCCTTGCACTAGTGATCTCTTCCTGTTTGATTTTCTCATTTTCTATCTCTGCTATGGCTTCACCAGTAGTGGTACCACTCAAACTGGGATTCTACCAAACAACTTGTCCATCTGCTGAAGCAATTGTTAGAAAAGCTATGAGCAAAGCCATTTCCAAGAATCCAGGCATTGCTGCAGGCCTCATTAGGATGCATTTCCATGACTGCTTTGTCAGGGTATGCGCCTATCCTATACCATTTCCTAAATTAATATATATTATTGTAGTTTCATTCTCATAAAATAATTTATTGTTTATCTAAATTATTATATAAAAAACACAACTCAAAAGATAGTTCGAATTGAAAACACCATTACTTTCGCACCCAACGTTAGTTAATGTTACTAAATGTTTTTACTTTTCAGGGTTGTGATGGTTCTGTGCTACTCGATTCAACACTAAGAAAACCATCTGAGAAAGAACATCCAGCCAATAACCCAAGCTTACGAGGGTTCGAGGTGATTGATGAGGCCAAGGCCCAAATTGAAGCCATATGCCCTAAAACTGTCTCATGCGCGGACATTGTTGCCTTCGCTGCTCGCGACAGTGCCTTCATGGCTGGACGGATAAACTATGCCGTGCCAGCAGGACGTCGTGATGGACGTGTGTCTTTGAGTGATGATATTCCACAAAATCTACCGGCTCCCTTCTTCAACGCCACACAGCTGGAGGATAACTTTGCCAGAAAAGGATTGTCACGTGACGAGATGGTGACACTCTCTGGTGCTCACTCCATTGGTGTCTCTCATTGCTCTTCCTTCTCCACCCGCCTTTACTCCTTCAATGCCACTCACCCATAAGATCCTTCCATGGATCCAAACTACACAGCATTCTTGAAAACAAAGTGCCCACCAAGCAACGCCGGTGCTGCTGTCAATCCAACAGTGGCTCTTGATGTTGTAACGCCAAATCGTTTAGACAACAAGTACTACACAGTATTGAAGAAGCACTGTGGGGTACTGACTTCAGACCAGACATTACTAAGCAGCCCTTCAATGGCTAAGGCAGTGATGTACAATGCTAAATATGGTTCCAAGTGGGAGGCCAAGTTTGCTTCTGCTAGGTGCGCATGGGCTACATTGATGTCCTCACTGGCAAACATGGTGAGATTAGGAACAATTGCCACATTGTGAATTACTAATTGATTAAGCTCCCAAGTGTTTGAAAATATTGTATTCTTCATTATTTTCAAGTGATAATTCGAGTGTAAATTAATTCCTGTCTAAAAAAAAAGTGTAAACCAATCACTCTCTTGATTGATGTTGATGATGATTTGTTGTATTCTTTCTTATAATAAAGAGACTATGTTTCCTCACAATTAGTATTTAACGACTTTTCAAGCCTTGCAACATTTACAATTATAGTAATTATTAGATACCTCCGAAGCACCATGTTTGCATAAAAAAAGAAAAGGAAAAATACGAGCTAAATCTTTCAAGGCCATAGCTCAATCGACATTTACAATTATAGTAATTATTACATACATCTAAGAACCATGTTTGTATAAAAAAATGAAAAAAAATACGAGCTAAATAATCTAAAGGCCGTAGCTCAATCGAAGTTTGAAACCACTCATTAGTCATCTTAACTTCTAAATAGTTAGACAATAAAGGGCAAATTATACTCATCCCTTTAAACGTTTAAAGAAAATGTAGCAAACTCTATATTTTTAGCATAATTGTATTGAGTGCCTTTAAATTTTAATTTATATAACACTTTATCTATTTCTTATCAATAATTTATTAATCAAATAGATTAAAAAAAAAAAAAGGTTTTATCATATCTTTTATGTTGAAATATATATATATATTTATTTTTACACCATCAATATTAGTTTTGATTTATTTAATCTTATCGAAAAGAAATTTAGAATAATTATGTCAAAATTATGAAAAAAGAAATTCACCTTTTTTTTATCGGCAAAATAAAACCTTTTTTAATGAACAAATAACTCATTACATCAAGAAAGGAAAAAAAAAATAGGTACAAAAAGTATCGTACTGAGACATACCACTCCTAACTAGGTTGACACCATTATGCTTGCCCAATTCTTTGCTAGTACACCATCAAAAGTTAGTGAACTACCAACCAAAGTCAAGAAAAAACAACAATTGACATATCAAAACATCACCAAAATAGCACAGCAGCATCCTACCAATTGATCATCTGTTTTCAAAACCAAGAAACAAACAACAATTAGCATATCAAAACAACACCAAAAACAACACAACAGCACAACACCAAAAACAACTTCGTAGCAGCAACAACAATCAACAGCAGCCCAAGACCAAGCATAGCTGTAATAACCCTCACCACTGCCTACCGATAAACATTGATTACCATTAAACTGAACTGATCATGACTGATAATTGAACTGATTAAAGTACTGAACTGACTGACTGAAAACTGGAACTGAATTGACTGAGTATGTATGTTAATCTGTATTCTATCTGTTTGACTGTTTGACTATCTGTTCATGTTTTAGTGTTTAACCTGCTAATTGAAGGCCTTATCGGCAGCTGAATCCGAAATTGATTAGTGTGCCTTGATCAGTAGAATTAATGTGAATTTATGGTATATTTATCTGAAATTTGATTTAGTATGATT